CTTCGTTTTTATGACTATGTCATTGGTTGTTATGCGGTCATATGACCGCCAGTTAACACAATAAACCCTTCGTTTTTAATTTTATTCCACTCATTATTTTGTGCATTCTTTATGTATTATTGTATATGTTTCACATATGCTCTTTTATTATACTACCTTTGAATCTTTATTTATTGTTTTATCATACAAAATTTGCATTACTAATTTATGCATAAATTATGACGTCATTTTGGCGCCAATTTTGAAATTGTTAATGCTTTGAGAGGTTATTTAAACCATTGTGAACCAGGTCTCTGTTTCTTATTGCCAGTTGAAAAAGCCCTGTGTGGTGAAACGCGTTTTGGCTATTTTATACATATCTTTTATTATCTATTAATAAAGTATTATTGGCCTATTATTTACCTTTTATACATTACTTATTATTTTTTATTTTATTTATTTACTTATTATTTCCTGGACCTGGTTACTACTATTTTATATTCAAGAATCCTAGGTGGGGATGATACCACCTACGCTATACTAGTGAGCAGTATCTCCTGCTCACTTAAATGTGAGTATTTTATACACATTTTACCTTTCTTAAGTATCTATTCATACAGTGAGCACTATTCTGTGTTATCCTCTTCTTTCCCGAGAATCTCGGCCACGGATTCATGTCTACATCCCACCAGTGGGGGACCAGTACCACTGAATGCGACATACACCTGAGCTAGTTTTAGCTCTAATATAGGTGAGTGTGATACCTTTTTACTCTGTATTCCTATAAAGAAGCGGAAAAGACTATCTATACCATTGGAGCTTTTATTTTGTTCTCTTTTGCATATTGGCACCTGGAACAAGACGTCATATCCATTTCCTTTATTCTACAAGGACTGTTTCTTTCCCTCAAGCGGACTTGACCATCCTTTGCTTATTTTAGGACTTTTTCATCTATTTCTCTTTGTATGTACTGCTATTTGTAAGTACTTACTACATCATTTACATGTATTGTTTTATATATTAAGATTTTTATTTTTACCGTTTGTTGTATTACTATATTTTGATTTTGTTATATCTATTTTTTGGCGCGACCTAATACTTCCTTTAGGCTTCCAGTTACGACTGGAGGTCACCCAGTGTTACTTGCCCTGAGTGGTTTGAGGAGGGGGTCACCCTCTGTGCAACCAGGATTAGCGGTCGTATAATTGGGCCGCACCCGTCAGGGGTAGAGGGCCTGTTTGATTAGGTGTCAAGTAGTTTGAGGAGGGGGTCACCCTCTGTGTGACCAGGATGAGCGGTCGTATAAATGGGCTGCACCCATCCGGGGTGTAGGGCCTGTGTGATTTGGGGGTCACCCAATACAGTTTAAATTGTGGAGCCTGTTTACTGCCAATTTTTTCTCCCACCTCGATAAGGAGGTGTGTGGATCACCCCAGCCGTATTGTGGGTGCCATGCATAGAGTCATATATATGATATAGCAGGGTGTGAGCCTGCTTGCACTGCAGGTGCGAGATCCAAGATGGCCGCCGTTCGCGCCAAAAACAGCAGGGCGCGGTTCGCGATCGCGGCCCGTCGTTGTGGAGTAACGTATATTGAACAAGAAAAAAACCTCAATACCCCAATCCCACCTCCCAGGGAACCCCTATGCAAGCCCAGTGCCCCGAAAAAAGGCACGCGGTTGCGGTAAGTGCCGCGATCGCGGATAGGACAGATAGTAAAGAGTATGCAGTACAGGGTTGAGAGGATAGGGAGGGTAGAGGGTGGAATAATCATTAAAGATATGGAAATTAATGAAATATTTGAACAGTGATAGGTAGTAAACTCTGATGTAGTTTCTGAATGTTCATACAATGTGTAACTCTTTTTGTAATGCTCCAATTTTCGGCCCATATTTTCAACTCACTCTGAGTGTCTAGCTCTTGAGACCATCTTTAGGGATCCTTTCTGGCACCCATTGTCCCAACATATAATATCATCTTTTTAGAGTACCCGATTGCTGGACTTTACTTAGCAATTTTTCTATTTGGGAAAACAACTCAACCTTGTCCTCAGAACACTGATGTTTTACAATATAGTATTGGATAGTATTAGAAACATTAAAATATTGACTCAATGGGATGTTAGAAAGCCTTTAAGAGCACGAAAATAGATCTATGAGCTAACAAAAATGTAACACGACATCGAAATTCAGGACAATGTACTATTGAAATTAATTGTATCCCCCTAACAATAAACTGTTACCCCTTCTTTATTCTGTTTCCCCTAACCCTGAAAACTGAATGAAAACTCATAAATAAAGAATTTACAAAAAAAAAAATCACAATTTAGTTGAGCAATACTCTTAAAGCTCCCCTCTTGAAACAGGTCTATAGCTTTTATATTCTTTTTGTTCGGCAATGAATCTATGTTCAAATCAACCAACAAATATTCCAATATAGTAACTGGAACCTCTTTACTTATATAATTTTTCATCTGTTTTTTCTTTTTTAAAATTTCTTCCAAATTCACAAAAGCCTGCTTATAATACAATGATTTGAATCTTTGATCCTGACTCCTACTACGTCCTGCTCCATCCACAGAAGACTTGCCAGGTTATTAACCCCCATTAAAACCAAAGCAATGAGTAAGCGCTAAATAACACAATAAAGCAGCAACCCTATAAGGGATTCCCTCAAAAACCCTTAGACGTAACACAAAGAAACACAGGCATATAAATAAAACTAAATTTTAATTCAAAGTAAATCGAAAAAGTCAAAATTGAAACAAAACATATAAAAATAAAAAAATACATCAGAGACAAAACTGATTATTCAAACAAGCAGGTTAGAACGTACCACTTAAACAAAAAATATACTTCCCAATATCCGGTTCAAATGAACAACCCCATGAGATCTAATAATTATCGTGAACAAAAACCTTACGAAAATCCAGAGAGACAACACCAGCCACACCGATATCAAAATACTAAACAGTCTCTATATCCACCACAAAACACCTATATACATAGGGCACCAAACAATCATTCTCGTGGTGTTTCACAAGGATCACAACACACAAACCAATACCGTTCTTTTCCCCAACAAAATCGATACAATTCATATCATACTCATTATGACACTCCTCCATAACCAACACACAATAACACACCAGGACTCCAATATAAACATCCGTCTCCCAAACCACAAAGATCCAAATATATCAATGATCACAAAGAATACTTAAACTACTCTAAGTCACCCACGATTCCCAATCACCCGAATAGATACCAACTACTGTCACTAGATTCTGAATTCGAAAATGAAGATAATTTTTTAGAAATCCGAACTCACCATACTGCACTAGCCCAAACACCACATCCCTCACGTTCAAAAAAAAGGATTTTAAATTTAGAGGAAGAAGAAGTGGCAGATGTGAACAAAAGAGAAAGATTAGAAAGATAACAACCTCTTCATTTAGTAATAACAGTGGCATTTTTAACCTTTCACCAAAAATTTTAACTAGTGCTCAAATAGCGGTTTTAACTAAACGTCTTAAGTTTGCCCCTACTAATACTTTTAAATCGTTCAAAGCTTTTATAGATGTCAACAAATTCGTTCGAAAAGCAACCCTTAAAAGATTTTTTATGGAGAAAAATGAAGAAAATCTTATTCAAAATTCGGTTTTAACCCCGTCGATACCATCTCATAATCAAAACATAATTACCACCTCCCTAAGAGAAAAATCCACTTTTTATCCTGCTCATTTTAAATCAGCTCTCCTTACTATGTTTGAGAAACTAGTTACAAAAGATTTAGAAAAAATCAAAAATAACAAATATGACCCCTATAACCTTACACATTCAGAAAAACTGACACTAAAAGAACTCCAAAACGATGAAAATATTGTCATTAAACCAGCAGATAAGGGCGGAGGGATAGTCATCCAATCAACCCAAATGTATATAGAGGAGGCACACTAAATGATGCAAATGTGTACGAAAAACTTTTATCAGACCCTATCAAACAAATACAAATTGTTTTAATTCAATTTTTAAGTAAAGGTGTAAATTTAGGCATTTTAAATAAACATGAGTTAAAATTTCTAAATAATCAATTTCCCATTACTCCTGTTATATACTTCCTCCCTAAAATTCATAAAAATGAAACTTCACCTCCCGGTAGACCAATCGTGTCTGGCATAGTTTCTCTCTTATGCAATCTCTCACAATATATAGATATTCTTTTACAGCCTTCAGTCAGACTCATGAGATCTTACCTTCAAGACTCCATGGCTCTTTTAAATTTTTAAAATAATTTTATATGGAAACCTAGTTTTATATTAGTGACATGTGATGTCCAGTCACTATATACAATTATACCTCATGATATAGGCTGTCAAGCTGTAAAAGATATTTTAACAAAAGAAGGCAAAATTGCTGGTCAGCAAATTGATTTCATTTTAGAAGGTATTAATATTATTTTAAAATATAATTATTTTTGGTTTTCAAACTCTTTTTATCTTCAAAAAAGAGGGACTGCTATGGGGACTAGGTTTGCTCCCAGCTACGCAAATTTATTTATGGCTGACTGGGAGTCAGAAGCCATTTTTAGTAATCATGCGTGGAGAGCAAACCTAGTTTCCTTTTTTAGATATATTGATGATCTTTTTTTATCTGGGATGGTACTGAAGACGAACTCAATTCTTTTATCACAAATTTTAATATAAACAACAGAGGTATAATCCTGACGTATGAATAAAGTAGAGAACAAATTAATTTTTTAGACCTTAATATTTTTATAACCAATGGAAAAATACACACTAAGACGTTTTTTAAAAAAGTATGTGTAAACACTGCTATCGACAAAAGCAGCTGCCATTATCAACCTTGGTTGGATAGCGCCCCTAAAAGCCAAATACTTAGACTGAGGAGAAACTGTTCAGAAATAAGAGATTTCGAGATACAAGCAGATGTCCTAAAAGACAAATTTGTTGAGAAGAATTACTCTAAATTAGAACTAGAAAAGACTATTAAGGACATCCAAACAAAAGATAGAAACAAACTCCTAAAATACAAACCTAAAACCACAGACACAACAATGCCTTTACCAATTATCTTCAATTTTAACAATAAAAGCAACAATGTAAAAATGTTATAAGAAAACACTGGCATCTTCTAAAACAAGATGAAACACTAAATAAAATTATACCTGAACGTCCGAATATTATATTCAGGGGAGCTCAAAATGTTAAGTCTATACTAACGAATAACTTTACAAGAGAAATTAAAAAGACCCCCCCCCGGTATCCCTTTTCCCACATATTAAAGGTTTTTGCAAATGCAAAATGTGCATAGTCTGTAGAACTACTAACCCTGATGTCCCCCACAAAGTAACCAAATTTGTATCAAATAGGACAAATGAGGTTTATAAAATAAATGATTTTATTAATTGCCCTACAAAAAATGTTATATATCTGCTTGAATGCCCCTGTGGCCTCCAATAAGTTTGAAATGACCACAAGGTGTCTGAAAACGCGCTTAAGCGAACATTGCAGAAACATTAAAAATGGATAATGTAACAAAAAGAACAGTTTGCCTTGTAAAGACTTATGAATTACAATGCAGTTCGGGACTTTGCAAGCATTCTCCATGTGAATGCTTGCTAACCTCTAACAGGCCACCCTGACTCTAAATTGAGACTAATTTACCTCTCTGCTTGATGGGCATTTTTGTAGAAAAACCGCACGAACGCTATGAGAGCTGTAAGCCCAGCTTCCATTTCGGGACTTCCACGTGTTCACGGCCATTTTAACTCCTGAACAGCGGTGTTTGCCGTTGAGTGTCTGGAACTAAAATCGGACACTCAAATAGGGAACACCGCTGAGACCTCCATACCTTCGGGAAAACCTCACCAAAACTACCGAACGACCAGGCATTCGGTAGAAAGACTCAGCAACGGATGGGGATTTCAATGAACCCAGGATGGCATGCGGATGGCCGGCCGTTCAGGAGTTTTTACCCACGATCTAAGACCGACTGCAGGACCAGCATTCATGGAACTGTTTTCGGGTACTGTGCCCGTGCGGTCGGTCAAAACTTCCCATATCTCCCGAACGGCTGAACCGGTTGGGCTGATTTTTTAAATATGTTAGTCCCCCAGAAACAAGCTATCTGGGGATACTGAATTTATGCCTGTACCCCAGGTATTTGGGGTACATCCAAACTTTGGGGAAAATATGTTCTGTTTTAATTATGTTATTTAGTTATCTAAGGTGAGGGGATGTACAGAATGTATATTGTCTTGATTGGTTATACTGCTAATTATGTAGGTGTCTCCCTTGCATGGGCAGAATCACATAAAAAAGAGTGTCTGTCAATAAATCCTCAGTTCTTCTTGACCCTTCAAAACGTAGCCTCGTCTCATTCTTGAAAGGGTAATCTATGCAGCATAATCACTCAGCTCTTTTTAGAGCTGCACTTGGCTTCTACTCCTGATCCAGCAGAAGGGAATAGGCGACTCCATCACTACACAGCGATTTGTCGGGAAGAAAAGTATGTCCCCAACGGCTGATACCCTCACTATACCAGGGTAGCCGTTACAGATACCTAAATCACTCAGTATCCAAACATTTTATCATACACAATAAAGATCCAAAAATGCTAAAATGTATTGGAATAATAAAATGTGTGGTTCCGTGGAGGGGCGGAAACATTAAAAAGATTTTAGGTAAAAAAGAAATGGAGTGGGTCTATATACTTTAAACTCTTGTACCATATGGTTTAAATGTAGATTTTGATTTGTTTAATTTTTTATAATCTTTTATACTTTTTAATTCTGCATATATCTGTCTCTGGATATTTTATTTATATTTGTCTGTTTTTTAATTTTAATTTTTTTGTTTTGTTTTTACCCATTCCATTTTTATTCTCTCCTTTTTATTCCAGACTGTGTTCTTTTTATCTCTTTTGCCATCATGCCTGATCACACTGTTTAGTGGATCAGGCATGATGTCTTCAAAGTTGGTTGCTGCTTTGCTTCTAAACCGTATCCATGATGACGGCTGCAGCTTTGTGCTAGCCGCCGTCTCCCTTTCTATCTCCGCCCCTTTGATGACAATGGCCGCAGGTCCGTGCATGCCGTCGTCACTATTGCACCTCCTCTCCTCTACGTCAGACGCATGCGCGCTGATGCTCTATTGTGATGCCGCGCCCCCTCTAGACGTCAGCGCGCATTAGTCGCACGCGCGCTGATGTCCTACTGTGTAGCCGCACCCCCCTTAGACGTCGGCACGCATGGGCAATCCCCCTTATTACGACGCCGGCGGCTGCGCAGTGCCAACCGACGTCCAACTACACTTCCCATCAACCCCTATAGGTTTCATGCCGGTCACGTGACCGCGCATAAAATCGCCTATTTTAAGTATATCCTGGTTATTTTCTAATATGTATAAACATTTTAATGTTCATTTAATGTCCTTTTATGTATATATATATATTGCTTATGTTTCACTTTGATCATGTTTTAATTATACTAATTTTAAACTTCACTGTGATTGGCTGCTAACATTTTGGCGCCAATTTCAAAGGATTGTATATGCTATTTAAAGACTTCACTGCCAGGTATCAGGTTCTTCACCCATATTGATAACGCCATATTGGCGAAACGCGTTTATGGTTATTATATTGTGTAATTTTAAATATTAAAGTATATTTGGTAACTTTTATTGTACCACTTATCTTTTAACACATATTCACTATTTACCTGGCATCCTTTTATCGTACCTGGACTCCAAGAAATCCTAGGTGGGGATCATACCACCAGCGCTAAATACAGGGAGCAGTTGACCTGCTCCTATCTTGTGCGTACCCATTTTTATTCTCTTATTTTATTCTTAAGTTGTTTATCCAGAGAACACTATTGGCTGTTCTTTTTATACCGAGTGCATACCACACTAAGGACGGAGAAAACAGGACATTCCATCTATATCCCATAAGCGGGGATTAAACCGCTGTACGCCTTCCATACCAGAGCGGGTTACAGCTCTGGCAAATGTGAGTTTGCATTCTTGATTTTTATATTTTTATCATCTCCACTGTTGAATATACTACACTATTTGGCTCTCTATTTATCCCTTATCTCTTACATATGAGTGGATCCATAAGGAGAATATCGACAAGGACAATTATCCTGGACCAAATATTATTACTACATGCGACCTCAACAGACGCCTTGAGATAAGACTTTCTCTTTTTATGCATTCATTTTATCTGGACTATTTGTTTTACACTGAGTTTTATTCAGCGCAACCCTTACTTTTATTTATTAATCCCCATTAACTGTTGCTCAATCCCGTACCAATCCTTCATTATTGAGGAGGGGCATTGGGTCTTACTACCATGTGTGAGCATACTGGCTTGAACATACCTCTCCATACATGGTAGCCCTACACCACCTCAATCTTTATGTCTATATTTTGCATCTGTCTTTATTCAATGTTTTTTATTTTTCCAGATAAATTTACTCACAACCTTTTGAATTTTTTACACCATGCAATGGGTATTGGAATAGAAATTATTCTAAGGGAATAAATCCATCAAGGTAAAATATAGGCTTTAACCAGGTTAATTTGACAAAAAAAGACAAATTTAGGTTATTCCATTCACTAGATTGCTTTATAAGATCTTTAAACAGGGGAGTGTAATTTAAGTCAAGTATCTGGTCCAGATCCCTCAGAGAGTGCCCAAATATCTCAGAGAGTCACTTGTCCACAAAAATGAATATTTATTCGTTAGTTTGTGTATTGTTGCATGGTCTAATCCAATCGGCATCGCCTGGGTCACATATATATTAATTTTATAATTAGACATCTCTCCACATTTATCCGCTTCCCTCAAAACTGCTTCTATAGATGTTACAGTAATAAGTCATCTGCAAACAGATTGAATTAGCATATACGTTCTCCCACTTTAACTCCCTCAATATTTTGCAAAGCCCTGATTGTTGCTGCCCTGGGTTCCAATGATAAAATATAAAGCATTGGTGCCAACGGGCACCACTGTCATGTTCCGTTACAAATCTGGAACCAATCAAAACTAAAACCCTGACCTACTATTTTAGCAGTTGAAATAGTATACGAAGCCATGACCGAATCAACTAACCCACTCCCGAAGTTGAAAGCTTTCAGAACCTTCTCAAGAAAGCACCAGTCAACCCAAACAAAGGCTTTTGAGTGTTTTGAATGAAGGAGTTCTAAAACTTTATGGGTATTCCCGCTTGCCTGTCTTCCTTTAATAAACCCTGTCTAATCACAATGAATAATAAAAAGAATAATGACTTTCAGTCCTTCTGCAATTACAGAAGAATACATTTTGGTATTGATGTTTATTAGAGAAATTGGCCGTTAATTAGGGACCCTTGTTTTGTCCTTATCCTGTTTGGAATAGGCACTATTGTGGCTTGCAACATTTCAGCTGGAAAATTCCTACTTTCCTTAATTATATTAAATGTACTTGTCAAGTGAGGAATTAACAAGAACTTTAGTTTCTTTTAAAACAAGTTTGAGTATCCACCCGGTCCAGGGGCATTCTTGTTCAGGAGCCTATCTAAAACCATCTTAATTTAATCTTCTTACAGCGGGGAATCTAGCACCTCTTTTTGGTCTTACGAGATCCGGGTTAGATTTAAATCTCTTAAATATTTCACAATGTCTGGAGTTTCTGTTCTTTTAGGGAGGTTACAGTGTGTTGTATAAAACCTCTTAAATGCGTTCCCAATAGCCGCTGGATTTAAGCAGATTTCCAACCCATCTATAATCTTAAAAATTCTGTTTCTCTGATTTTCCCTTTTAATCTGGTTTGACATAAGTTTGTCAGCTCAGTTGCCTAAGTAATACCACTTTTGTTTCATCTTAACCATTATCCTATCTGCTTTTATATTTATTTATTCTCTTATGGTCTTACTTATTAAAGAGATTTCCTTAGATCTAGTTTCATCAAAGGCTCCTTTATTTAGACTTGTCAAATCAGCCAGTTTTGCATAAAGGCTTGCTATGTTTTCCCTCCCCTTTTTTTAAAACTGAGAATCCATCTTAATTAGGGTTAATTAGGTAACCCAGCATCATGCTTTTAAGCGCACACCAAGCAGTTAGTAGGCTTACATCCCCTATTAGATTTTCTTTAAAAAAACAATCTTCGCCTAATTTTGACAAACTATCTACATTTCCATTTTCCAAGTTCTAATATTTTTCTTATAATTATCTTCCATAACT